CACTTAAGAAATACAGCCAGCATTTCACGTGCCCCTGACGTTTCATCTCCTCTGGGTCATGATGTGAGGCCTGACACTGGCGCTGGTGTCGTCAGTAACTATGCAAAGCTCCACTCCCCAGAAATTAAAGACATATCATGGCCTTCCTTCTCTGAGTCAAGTCAATGAACTGTAAAGGCACAGACATGAAGTAAAGACCTGAAGGCAAGAAAGATTATCAACATGGCTCTGAGATCAGAAAAGTACCGTTTCATTTTGCCAGGTTCTTTATCTTCAGCAAGCATGTTAATAACAAAGGAATGGCTTCTTACAGGTTTGATTGAGCCTTCACTTTTACAAGGCCCTTTCTCGTCTATCATACTCTGAACTCAGTAACCTGTGTCGTAGCAAGGCTGGTTCTCAATTTTGTTTTACAGATGAAGAATCTGGGGCATAGAGTGGTCAAGTGCCATGATTTGCGGTTACAGCTGGTTGGAGGCAGGAGGGGGAACTCGAGGCCCAGGCATTCTGTTAGCCCCGCCGTGTGCTGAGATAGACACACAGCGAGGTTTGGGAAGCCGAGCACCACACTGGAGAGTGTGGAGCTAGGATGCTACCAATAACTGGTGACCTAAAGGCCACGGTAAGGGATGTAGGGAGAAAAAACTGTGTGGAAATGAAAAATAAATAAAGAGGAGAGAGAAGTCGCTGCTAGGGAAAAAAAAAAAATTCTGTCCAACCTCATAACATGCTGATATGATGTAGAGTGGTATGTTCATTTCTTAGAGCTGCCATTACGAATTACCACAAACTTGGTGGCTTAAAACAACAAAATTCTATTCCTCACTGTTCCAGAGGCTAGAAGTCTGAAGTCAAGGTGTTGTCAGGGTCAAGTACTCTCCAAAGGCTAGAGGAAGAATCCTTCCTTGTCTCTTCCTGCTCCTGATGGTTACTGGCAATCCTTACAGTTCCTTGGCTTGTAGCTGCATCTCTCTAATCTCTGCTCCTGTCTTCACATGACACCTTTTCCCCGTGGATCTGTGTTCTCTCTTCTTATAAGGACACCAATCATTGGATTTAGGGACCACTTAATCTAGTATGACCTCATCTTAACTAATTACATCTGCCAAGACCCTATTTGCAAAGAAGGTCACATTTTGAGGTTCTGGGTAGACATGAATTTTGAGGTGACTATTGAACCCAGTACAAGTGGAATTCATTCTGAGTCTGGTTTTTCTCACTGATCGTGTCACAGGCTTTATACATTAAGCTGCAGATTAACTCCTCTGAGTGATCACCAACTTTACAGGCAAGCACGTTTGATTCTAGGTTTGGGCTCAAGCTTCCCATAACCACAAACATAATAGAACATTCAGAACCTTACGAGGGTCAAACATGGTGCTAAAGAGACCAAGGAAATAGGACTGTTAGCGTCTCTCTTCCAAGGCTGCTGACTCATTCTTAATCCCACATACTATCAGGAAGCTTTGTAGAAGAAAGCCTGGAGAGAATAGCTGGTTTGTGGCAAACTCATTCCCTGTACTGGAGAACAAATTAAACCTCAGTACTCTCTGACTTTGAGAGTGCCTTGTCATTATATTCCAAAGATACACATACAATGAATGCATGTTCCAACATGTAGGTTTATAGAACACGCACTTGTTTGACAAAACGTACAAGCATAATAGCAATTATGCTTGGAACATGCTTTGGACATGCTGTTGAGAAAACTAGAACTAACTGATTTTTGTAGTTAACTAATTACATTTCATCTTAATTTACATCTTACTATAGCAAAGAGATAGTTATGCCAACAATATGCTTGCTATCATTGACTATTTGAAGGGTGGTTAATCATCTGTCCTTTTTTATTTTTAGATATTTCTTCTCTAAACCCCAGGCAGGTCCCAAAAGAGTAAACTTATAACTTTTCATAAAGAATTTATTAAAAAATAATAACTTACAAATCAAATTATAAATTTTGTGGTCTATGTTGTAAGAAAAGGTGAAAGTAAATTCAATTAAACATAATAAA